TAACGTTTATCGCGCAACGCAAACGCAAATAAAAATTTAATAACTTGCTCAAACAGTCGCTCTTTGGTTTATTTGGGACTCAATAATCTGTCTTCTTGTTTATGGAAGAGATAATGGGCCACGGAGGGAAGACACCAGAGAGAGAGAAAGAGATCAAGGAAGTGTCGGATTACGTCGACTCCATGTATTATATTATACTATTATATGTACATAGATTTAGGTATACATACGGAGAACCAAAGAAATCTTTACTTTGTGCGTATTGTTATAGGTAAGTGAGTATACCTGATATTTTCTTGGGGAGGTATTAAATTTTTATTATTAAAATACATCTTAATCAATGTCACAGTACAGATGAAAATTTTTGTTATATAAACTTTTCACTTACAATAATTCGTGCACATGCCAAGAAAAAAAAAAGAAAAAAAAAAAAAAAAAAAAAAATGTTTGTCACGTATATAAGGACGACAATGACACGTGCGCTGCCGCAGGTATATAATGTAAAATGAACAAAGCGCGAGCTCGAGTTGGTTATATAGTATTAATGAGTCGAGGCGGAGTATAACGTGTATGTATAGAGAGCAAGAAAAAAAAATCACTACTCAATAAAATGATACATCCATATTCGAGAGAGCGAGCAACACGCGGCAATGGACTTTCAATGTGATACTGGCACACACGCGCGTATATGCGTGCAAGTATAGCCGATCTATAACCGAGCGCGTCCTATTTCTCGCCTTGGGAAACAGTCGGTGGTGGTGGTGGCGGCGGCGGGTGATAATGAGCGAAAGCAACCGCAAACAGAGTCGTGTCGTCCCTCTCTATCTTTTTAATGCACGTACACATTGGCAGACTTGCTTCTCTCTCTTTCGAATATAATACGAGTAAGTATTATATGCTCCGGAGATAGTTTTTTTTATTTTTTTTTTATTGTGTATAAACATTGTCATATTATTCTATAAATAAGACGTTGGGGCTGCTGCTCACGGTTTTCGTGCCTCGTTATATCGAATGAATGCAGCGCCATTATATTTTAATACTATTATCAGTACAAGGCATACCTTTATATAGTATGTACACTTACGCCCCTTGTATATTGTACATATATATATGCTACCAGTAGCTCAAAATTCACACTCCAAATGAACGAGCTATACGATACACTTGAACAGCTGCTCGAGCTGCTTTTATTTTATCGCGCGGTAAATTATAAACTCTCTCTCGGTCAGGGGACTATCTCGTTTTTTTCAGGTTTTGTCACGGCTTATTGCATAAAAGTACTTTTTTTTTTTTTTTGGCGTGTTTAACGATAAAAATGCGTATCGTGTAAGTATATAAAGATACGATGAAGAGGTTCATCATCAATGAATTTTGGCATAAAAAATTCAATAAAAGACGGTGCAAATTTTCATTTTTCGCTTTGCGCTTACATATATGTATACTTAAAAAAAATTGGCAGAGTTATTTCTTCGTAATTATAGATACGCCGGCACACTTTTACCTATATGTATATACCCGTGCCCTATAGGGTCACTATATACTAATCAGCAAAACCCGTCGTCAATATGAGAATACTATCGCGATCTGCAATGCGCGCCGGGACGATTTATCACCGGATGATTAATTTTTATTGCACAAGTCCAGTTAATCGATTCGATGGTTCATTAGCTCGCACGATCTCCCTCTTGGAATTTTGCCGTACCTCGAGCGCACGAGCTTTCCCTTTACAGCCGGTAGGTATAAGTACATGTATAGGTGCACTTTCTCAAAAGTTTGGCTTCCCCCGGAGTTATCGATGATTGCCTGTTTACATTGACTCGACGCATACCTACAATGTGTATATAATATATATGTATGTATAGTGTCACAAGTGTGGTGTACACGGAGCTCTCTGTTATCTTGGGTACGAACCGAGAAAATTTATGAGCTCATATACAATATATCTATGTAGATGTGTATTGTAACGCGGGGTTTTTCCTGTAAAAATCCAAAACAAAGTTTACAAGCGGACAAATAAGATAATCTCGTGGAAGAGAAGATGACGTTTTACGCGCGGGAGAAAAACCTCGGGTGGAATATAGCGCGAACGGAGAGATTTGTTATTACTCGCGCGCAATCGCTTTGGAGCAAATAGGTGTCGTGCGAGCGATTTATGCGCTCTCGAAAAAGAGCAGAGTAAGAGGGAAAAAGTACAACAGAGCGACGAGCGAGCCCATGCAGAGGAGAGAGATAATTATGTATATGTCCAATATATGGAAGAAAACTGCAGGCTTATTGCGCGGATCGCATGCGACGATTAATAAAATAAGCACGGCCAACGCGCTAATTATGGCAATTGATGTGACTCCAACAAATAATTCACTCGAGTCATCGAGGTCGGATGAGCCAGAGCTGACTATATTATATACGTATTTCTTTTCCTTGCCTCGCACACGTGCGTATAGGGTACAAGTATATAATGAGCTTTTCTTCTTGCCGTGTACACGCGGGGAAAGACGATGATTTGCCCATCCGCGAGATCGGATCTGGAATTTCGGAGTGAAATCTGCATCTGCACGCGAGATTAAGAGAAAGAAAAGGAAGCTCCGTCTGTGCAGCATCACCATCAGCAGCTGTAACTATAATATTATGTGCGTGAGAGACGAGATGATAATCTGCGCGGATAATTAGCTCCTACCGTTGACTCTGCCAACTCTCTCTCTTGCTACATTGCCCCGTTCGATCGAGCGATGGGTGTTGCATAATGCCCCCTCCAGCAGATCTCCGATGGCTCGGTACCTATAGGTATGATTATACACGGAGCAATTCAATAATACTCTAACTTGCCCTCTATTTGTTACGTATATATTTATGTACATCGTACAGGTATACCTGCAGTGAGTATTGCTTATACACCTCGTGCGAATTAATATCCGGCTGTAACCCGGAACGTACGTAAGTAATCGACATGCTCATCGTGCACACAATTAATTTTCAAATTGTCTCGTTTATAATGTATTTATATAACACCTATAACAAGGTGTACAAATGAAAATAAGCCCTTGACTTGCCCTTTGCGCGCTCATTGTTATAATATACCATACGAGTATATAGGTGCTCGCGTTCATTAGGCAGTGTTGACTCCCCGTCCGAAGATTTTCTTCATTATAACGACAGGATTACCTGTGCCGTAACTCTCCTCCGCCCTCTTTTTTTTTTTATTCACTACGTACACGCCAACTGGTTGTTGATAACGAGAGAAGCCAGCAACCCTCACCGATGACAATGAATCGCAATGGATTCACGTTGTAGGTATACACCGATACTTGCACATGCATATACTTTAACCCTGAATGAACGAAGTAACGCACTGCCGCGTCAATCAAACCGAGAGAGGAGAGAAGTGACCGCATCCGTTGTTTCGCAACGTTTGAGCGTCACACCGCACACGCGCAATGTATATATATACATAGGAATTGTTCCCGAGGATCGAGTTGTAAACAAAGCTCCGAGCCGATGGGGCGCGCGCCGTTTAATTATTTAGCGAATCGTCATCAGCGCTCGAGGGAGTCAAAGAGAAGAGAAATGTTAATCAACGTGTCAATTATGGGGACGACTCGGTTCCGCTAACAAGCACCGGGTACACCGAGTGATCAATTACGTAAACGAAATTCAGGGCGGTCGCGTGTGCAAAGACCCAAGGGGGCTGCCGTTCACGTACATCGGGAGACCGGAAAGATGCGGCTTTATTACTATGCGTAAAAAAGGTATATACGCGCGTGGATCGCAGTAAGAACAGATGGGCTGGGGGGGGGGGTGGAATCAAAGGAAAAAAAAAAGGTACCGAGCTTGCAGGGATAAGGAGGGCTGGTTTTTGGCAGAGGCACCTTTTACCTATATATACCTACTGACGAAAAAGTTGGACATATTTATGCCTGGTACTATTAGCGCGCGTGCAGCCAGACTGTGGATGAGGAGAGCGAGCGGTATCGCGCTGAGCATCGCTAATTAGCCTGTCGTGGCGCAGCTCGGTAGCCACGGCCTTTTGCCTCAAACAGTGCCGTACTCTGTGTGTCCCCACCCCCCCCCTTCTTGAGCGCTGCGGAGAATATATATATATCTCTCGCACACACTCTTTTTTTTCTTCTTTTTGTGTGCTTCTTCCTCCGCTTTCGCAGAGTGGCTTATATGTATATATATGCACCATGCACAGCCTTGCAGGGTCCTCGCGGATACCTCATCTCTGTCTAATCAAGATGGTGGCGCCAACCGCCCGGTTTCGGCCGATACCGAAACTAATTGCCCCGGCTAATTTATCCTGCGCATTTGTACGTATAAGTATACAACCCTCCCTCCCCCCCCCCACACACAAAGGCCTCTCTCCGTTCTTCCGCTAATCCGCAATCGTCAGCCGAAATCTGCTTCAACAGCCTGCAAGATCGGCCAGCCACATCCTCGGCTCACAATACGTATACATACCAAAAACTCACCACCGATTTTCTGTACAAGATATCTCTTTTTTTTTTTTTTTTTTTCGGGCCATCGGAAAACACTCGCCTCTATCTCTATTGCCCATCGCTACGCGCTAGCTGCCGGGGTTTGAGCTTCGCTGTCGGCGGCTCCCTTCCGTACATTACACAGTCGCTATCGATAATAAATCTCACATTTATATTTATTTTCATTTTCGTGCGTCCCGATAACGCGGTGTATGTATATATAATCAATTCGATGAATTGTCCGACGTTGCGCCACGCGCCGTTTCTTTCATCAGCTTCCCGTTTTGCCCATTCATTATTGTTGTTGTTAACGTCGATTTTTTTCTTTCTTTTTTTTCAGTTTTCCCCAGTATGAGTATTTCTTTGCGAGTGTGGAAGAGGAGGAGGAGGAGGAGGAGGAAAAAATAAAGAAGAACCGACATGCGAGTAATTGGTAAGATTTCTTTCTTTTTATTATTATTATTGTTATTGTTAATATTATTATAATTACTATCATTAATAATATTATTAATATTAAATACTCTTTCTACTGACTATGCGCTGTTTACACATTTATACAAAAACGAGGGGGAGGGAGCGTCACACAATGTGGGGTTGATGGTGTGGGAGGTAGCCCTATACCGTCGAGCTTTGTCGCACCGTCATAACTCTCAGTCACCATCATCATGTATCGAGGATCTCAACAATAAAGGACATTTACATAATATTATTATATAATACGTTGTCATAACCATTATTACCAATAATACAATATACATGTGTAATTATATTATGTACAAGTTGAGGGCTGACGCGTGCGATGCGGTAGCGACAATAATCATGGTAATATTGAAAAATGATCGTATGATGAGAATATCCAAGTCGAGTGACATTAAATGGTACAGCATGAGTAACAATAATAAATTGTAGTAGGAGTCGCACTAGGAGCTATTAGGAGTCGCAGAGACGTATTTACAAAAATATCGTGTAGTATGTACAATTATATAACGAGGAACAGGATCCCGGGATAAAATATATCGGAGACGAAACAGTCTTTTACGAGGGGCTGGGCGCACTGATGAGCCGGGCCGTTTAGTCGCGGGCGGGCGGATGTTGGTGCTGTTGTTGTACGGGCCGTTGGCCGGGGTGGTGAGGCGCCGCCTGTAGCCCCGGATGCGCCAGCATGCCCATGGGGTAGAGCGCAGCGGAGGCGAGCAGGCCCGGATGGGCGCCGTACAGGGCCGAGTGGTGCTGCCTGACCGCGTTCATCCGCAACTTCTCGATCTCGGCCTCTTGCAGCCGTTTCGCCTTGGCTCGCCGGTTCTGGAACCAAATCTTCACCTGCGGGGAAAAACGAGGCTGCCGTTAGATCGTTCCGGTTATACGCTCGGGGCTCGAGCGACGTACCTGTGTCTCGGTGAGGTGGAGCGACGAGGAGAACTCGGCCCTCTCGGCGACGCTCAGGTACTGCCGCTCCCGAAACTTCTTCTCCAGGGCGACCAACTGCTGCGTCGTGAAGGGCGTCCTCGGCTTCCTGTTGGGCTTGTGCTTCCTCAGGTTGCACTTGAGCTTCGCGGGCTCCCCGTTCTCTGCAAACAGAAAAGGAATGTTGTTTTTTCCATTAGCCTGGATTGTTTGCAGTCGCTGCATCGGGGGAGAGGGAGAGAAAAAATCCGCAGCTGTGAGCTGGGCAGGTGCAGGGGATCAATAAATCGAGACCGCAAGTTGTTTTCCGGATGATCGGGCCCTATATTATACCCTTTCGATCCGAGTCAAGGTGCACAACGGAATATCTAACTTTTATATTTACACCCGGGAGCAAAATTAATTATGTATATATATATATAAATATCGTCGCACTCTGTAATGGCCTTCAAGTGCTTGTACCTACATCGTAGCGTAAGTAAATCAGCTGTTGCGTTGTCGCCGCCGATGTTTACTGCGCGGCTGACAAGAGGACACGTGTTATTTCTTCCTACGGTAAAATATGACTCACGCACGCAACGCTGGCGGTTGGGGCACCCCCCTCCTCCTTATCTCCGAGTGGCTCCCGTTTCAATTCTCGCCCGAAATAAAAATTGTCTCTCGTGTGGGTGTCAATTAATGGCCACGCAGCTGCGCCACGCTTATTCTGCTTTCCCCTGCATCACTTAATGATGTACCGATACTCTAGGTATATATTATAATGGGCATCGAGTCCGAAGTAACAGCCATTCGGGGTGTACGTGTATATACGCGAAAGGAGCAAATAAGTATAGGTATATTATGTACTGTATAGGGAGCGCTTAGCGAGATTTGTCTCGAGACAATTGACAGATTTGTTGCCGTTGCCGCGGAGAGGAAATCGCCGGCAATCTGCGCCCGTGTGCCTCTCTGAATTTCAAATTCGCCTCCTCCCGTCTCTTCGTCCCTCTATACTTCGATTCCCGTCCTCTGCACACTGCAGGCTCTGTGTCGCATTATCCGTACGCGCTCGGTATTTATATATACACGCACACACAAATATATATATATATATATATATATACACGGATATATATTCGCGCGCGCGCGCGTGTGTGTGTCGCTTCGCGCACGTCCTTTGTATCTCGGACTGGCTGGCTGGTTGGCTCCTCTCCGAGTGCAGCTAAGGGTCCAATTAGTCTCGGCTTTCGGAATCTCTCTCGTGAGCTGCTATACCTGCACACACGGCCGGCAGGCAGCGGAGAGACGAGCCACAAGTAGCGGCCTTTTCGGCCGTGCGGCGCGCGGGGACGGATTTTAATCCGACTTCGATCGGGAATGCATTCGAAATAATTAGCTGATTTCGCCGAGATAACTAACTTGCCTTCCACGAAGGACTAGATGATCATCGGTCCTCTCGCCGCGCGTCTCTCTCTCTCTCTCTCTCTTTTAGCTGCCGTTTCTGTGTGGCTTTTACCCTATATATATATAAGTAGCGCTCCTTCCTACCGCATTGCCTCTTTCGACCGTTTTTGGGCCCCTTTCCCCCTCTTGCGTAATGGCCGGCTATGGTAGCGGGCCCCCACATTATACGTATCCACTCTATCTTTCCCAAATCAAAGAGGAGACACTTTTTCTCTCTCCCCCTCCCCCAATTTTTTTGCTCTCGGTTACTCCATGACATTCGTGTCCGTTATTACGGCTTGTCTACCTACACGCGTAATGGTACGCCATATGAGCGAAGAAAAGGCCAATTTATTTAACAATAAATCTCAACGTTACTTGGTGCGCTGTGTTATGTTATATCTACTGTAAGCACCGTAATAATAAATAGGTATCTGCGTGGAGGAGGACCGTACATGTATCTATCTCTCTTGAGCCTCGAAGGGTTCTTCGAGCCATAAAAAGCCACTTTCGGAAATAAAGATGAAAGAGCGCGTTAAACTTTCAAGGGGGAGCTCCTGAAAAGGTAGCGCTTCGAGTGAATATACCCCCCCCCTCGTGTCTATATATACATAATATTATATGTGTTTACTGCGCCCCTGCGTGCAAACACCTTCTTCTTCTTCTTTTTTGGCTTTTTCTATGTGCATGATACGAGAAACCTCCCTTACTTTAGTGATTTATAATAGTACGATGAAAAAAATCGGCCCGCGGTATTATTACGAATCCGTTTCGAAGAAATTGGTTAAAAATTGCTCACTGCTCGGCAAAATACTCGCGAGCAGGTGTCCCGCTGTCCGACGGCGAGCATAACTACTCTCGCTACAAACGCGATTACGTTGACCGCGAACGTCGTTTTTTTTATTTCTTTATTTATTTCATTATAATTACGAGAGAAATGTTATGAAATACATAAAAAATGTTTTTAATCGCTAATCGTACCTACAAAAAACACAACACAGATAACATGAGAGAAAAAGTGCTAATCATTCAAAAAAGCATACTTGGCACGAAACGCGTCTCAACATCACGTGTTTTAACGTTTTGAGACTAAAATTTTGTTTGAACAACAACAAAAAAACCCCTAAACCCAACGAGGCACTCCCATTTCGTTTGTCACGTCGAAAGGAACTATGTTGTTTTTTGAAATTTGTAAAACTCATCTTCGACTTCAACACGCTGGGCGACTGTTTGCCCAAGAAATATTGAAACAAGGCCGAAAAGAGGAGAGCTCGAAAAACAAAAGAAATGGTATATTCCCAAAGAGTGTACAATATTGACTCGGGTTTCGCGAACGTGCGCACGCGAGAGAAAAAATACACAGCAAGTACAATACTTGGTAATAAGAAAATAAATAGTTGGGTGGACAGAGCAGAGTAAGAAAATATAAAAGCGTACACACCGTTGAGCGGGGCGTGATGGGTAAAGTGCGACGGGAAGAAGCCAGCCTGGGCAGCCGCAGCAGCCGCGGCCGCAGCGACGGCGTTCTGGTGTCCAGCCCAGAGGGCCGGGTGTATCCCCGCGGCAGCCGCCGCCGCCGCCGCCGAGGGCATCCCCGGTAGGCCCGTGAGAGCGGAGAAACCGGCCACGTAGCCCGGGGTGGGCCGGACGGGCGTGGGACTCGACTCCTGCAGTTCCTCGACATCGACGAGACTGCCGGCCTCGTCCGCGTCGTCCTCCTGAGACGAGCTCGCGGGTGACTTTGGGCAGAAGGCGGTGAACTGTTGGTGCTGGTGGAGGTGGTGGCGCGACAGATCCGTCGGGCAGTCCGTCGTCGGTGGAGTCGTTCGGTCGGCGCCGCTGCTACTGCTGTTGCTCCTGCTGCTGAGCTTCTTGTCGTCGGCGAGCAGCGCGGCCACGGAGAAGCTCAGCCGCTGGGACGCCGGCCGGGCTGCCGTGGGACTCGTCGTCGTCGGCGAGGAGGCCTGCTGGTGCTCGGGCGAACTCATCCTTAGCACGGTCATTATGTCCCACAGCTGTTTCTTCTTTTTTTCTTTTCCTTTGTTACTTTACTTTATATTCTGACTTAATTGGCAGCCAACTAAACTGTTGTTCCACGTATGTTATTAGAATAGCCGTCTGTCGCTATGCCTCCATGTTGTGGGCTGTGTCGCGCACTTTGGTCCCTTATTTTTATCTATTGATGAGCACGGGGCACTAACAACATCAACAAAAACAACATTAAAACAACAACGACAACAATAACAAAGAGCGTGGGTGTAGCGAGAATGTGGACGAAAAACAAAAAAAAGAACGAGATTGAGCGCGACGTTGTGTTTGCGGGTCGAGCTCCTCGGGTGGACTGACGGGGACTAGTTTCCATCAGCTCCGTGACTCGGCGAGCGGCGGCTCGAGTGGCGGAGCTCCGGGAGAGGGGGGCTCGCACTCGGAGCGAGAGAGCCGCGAGGAGGCGGGGCTTCGGCTGGGCGGGGCTCTCGCGAGGGGGAACCCGCACGGCCGGTCGATTATTTTTTCCGCGCCGGCGGGGAGGAGCGGGATAAGGGCTCGAATGCAAATTCTGCTGCGAGCCGAGCTCCCCAGCCTTGCTGTCGCGCTGTGTAATATATAATATGTGTGTCGCGGTGAGGGTCGAGGGGGCGGAGGAACAGCGATTTAATCGGGCTCTAGCCACCGTTGTGCTCCTATCCTGTCTATCTATACCTATACGGGTACGTATATCTACGCGTAGTGGTCGTAGAGTCGGTAATGAGCGTAATTGACCAATTAGGCGCATCAGCTCTCGACTAAAAATGGAAAAAGCTCCAATGTTCCTCCTCTCCGATTTGGACGCGTGCTCTTCCTTCGCACCCCCTCCCCCTCCCCTAAAGTTTGACTCGTCCATTTTACACGTGAAAATAAATAGAAAAATTAATAATTTTACACGGCAAGTAGAGGAGCGTGAAAATATAAACTGCAAATCATCCCCTATAATTTATAATTTTCCCTTCAAATTCGTCTATATAGGTATAATTTTTTTTTTTCTTTTTAACGTTTATGTGACGTCGTTTCCACTAGAGAATTTCCAAAAATTGTTCTAGTCAGGCAAATAAATTAAAAATACTTTTTTGTCACCCAACTTGGTTATCTTTTATTAAAAAATTTTTATTTCTACGGTGCAAGAAGATAACATCTTCGTGATCGAGGGGAAACAAAAAATTATATGTATCAGATCAGAGATGTTCTTTAATTTTTCTTTCAAGTAGAGTGTTACACTTGTACTTCCTTATTGGCTAATAGTTAAATTTAAGTTTCAATGTTTTTCTAAAAAAATTTGTAATTGAAAGACTCGTAAAAAGTATTTATAGCTATTGTGTTTTTTAATACTCCATTAAAATCAATTTTTTTGAATTTCTTTATTACAAAATATAATTCATATTCAGATTGTATACCAAAAAATAAAATAAAAAATTAACAAACACTTTGAATGTATTCTCAACTAATATTATTTCTATTTGTTTTAATTTCTAAAATTTGCTTTGAAAACCGAAACTAGGGAGCTATAGCAGGATTAAAAAAAAGCGTCAAGGGGATCACTGGATTTTAGAGTTCTATTTGTCGTAGGCAAAGGTTTTAAATGTTTGAGCCGTAGGGCTTAACTGCTTAGTTTTTTAGGCAAAAGTAGCGAGCTTACTTAAAAAGTTAATTGGTTTTCTGAAATTTGCCCTCAGCTGAGGAGGGAGGTAGGTCCTGCTTTCACGAAATCACACGGATCAACTTACAAAGAACCGTCGCCCCTGCTTTTGACTTTTGACGTGGTACGAGCTTTGGCTGCTGGCTATATGCGCTGATTTTCACATCAACTCTTAAAAGAAAAAATTTTGGGTACCACCAGGGGATTATAATATTTGGCTGGAGAAAAAAAATGTGACCCTCGCCCATAACGCACCAAGTTTTTTTGCCTCAAAGGAATACGATATTTTCGTACCGTCTTTCATAATTCCAGATGTCCAGAAAACGATGAAAATTGGTAGGTAAGATGTTTTTACTACATTTGACTTTTTTTGGGGAAAATGGCCTAAAAGATATCATCCGAGACGAAAACAGAAGTGAAACCTGGTGAAAAATTGCAGTTAAATTGTTTAATGTTATATTATATATTACACGTACGTGTTCAAAATGTGTAGTAAAAATAGGGAATATAATCGCTCTCATACTTGTATATTTATTTGATCCACTTTTGGACATCAATAGTGCTTGATGCATTAGTCTTTTCATGCAAAACTGCAAAAACCACACGAGTCACGAAAACGACAGAGCGTGTGTATGATGTACGTATAGAAGCCGGGTCTATTAAAATAACGCCAGAAATGATTTACAGATTCGAAAAGCCAGCAACAAACAGCGCCGAGGCGTTTAATTGAAAGCGATTTGAAGGAGCATAGCGAGAGCGGGCAATAATTAGCGAGTCGCGGAAGACATCGAGATGGATGATGCGCGCATATATATATATATCCAGGGGTGACTGGCGCACCGTATATATATACACCAAGTTCTTACAATTTGGATGGTTACCAAAGCAAACGATACGTTAAATAGATAGGACGGCGTGGCACGTATATGCAGACGGGCATAAATATAACGCGAGTCGGCGTATAATGAAGACCACCCGACAGACGTATACTTGCACATACCTATATACACACATGCAAAATACCTATACATCATCATACATGTGTGTACACACGTTGCGAGGCGCTCGCTCCGTCTTGGTGCACTTTTTTGCACGACACTCGCGCCAGCCTCAATTAGAGAGCTTGTGGCTCGTTTTTTGTTTTACCCTTCCATGATTTATTCAGCGATTTTTCTCGCGCGCCCATCCACAGCGAAAGTGCTCCTGGCAAATAAAATTTCCCCGTAGGTACCTCCATTCTCTCATTTCCTGCTCCCAATGTCTTATTTGTTCGAATGAACTGGCCCGTCCCCCGATATTCAATTATTGGGCGGATGCCCGGTAAAAAGCCGGGGACCAAAGTGGAGGGGAAGAAAGAGCCCGGGCTTTTATGCGCGCAACATGCAAATACTGCTCTTTCTCCGCTCCCCGCTTTTTCCTCTCAAACAAACGAGCTGCATCCCACCGAGAGTATAGACATCTTACTTTTGCGCGCACACACACACACACCTATACAGATACACTTTTTACTCGCTCGGCTGGGCAGATCTTATCGGATCGATGTAGGTGTATGCACACGCGCTCCCGTACCTTCGTTAAATTTCATCCGCCGCCTCCCCCGTCCCCCCGTATAGGTAAGCTTACATATACCTATACTGTTTCGCGTACGTACTATTATTCTCTCTGCAGCGGGATGCAGAAGGTCCTCTCCGTTGCGCGTCCTATTCTTCAAAGTCAGTAGCGGCGGTGCAGAGAGGCTGCCCGATTCAGCCGTACCGAGCCGATTATTTTGCTTTTTATTATTTTCAGCCCCTCCCGCCTTTTCCCCACTTTCCCCTCGACCGATGCATTATTTATATGCACGCATATAATACAAACGAGCGCGAGTTTCACTTTGGCTCGTGCGGAGGCTCTTTCGAGTGGCACGGCCTGGGGATCATTTCGCCTCGCCGCGACATTTAATTAGCCCCCCGCCAACGATTTCTTTCCACCTCGTGCAAAAATCTTCGTTAAATGGATATACCTATTACCTACCCACTGTCACTGGCTCGATGTAAGTATAAGGTATGCGCGTGCACAGTGTGTCGAAAGGAGTAACACGCATCAGTGGCGGCAGTTGAAAAGAGCTCCGAGTCAATGTTACGGAAGATAACACGCCAAAGACAGTCGATGAGCTCTGGAGGCCCGTCACTCAAGAAGAAAAAGAAAAAAAAGAAAAAAGCCGAAAGAAAGATAATATTTGAGCAAGTCTAGGCGCATAGCTGACTCTGTACTTGATACGCAGAGGGAATAATGATAATAATAATAATATCGTAAGAAAGGGGGAAGCTGGGCGGCATATAATATAATATATGATATAAATATACAGTCGACACCTCGACACGTGCGCGCCATGCGTCGCTAGTTAAGAGGCTCGAATAGTTCCAGCGCCGAGGCGTCTGTGGCTCCCTCGATGCATAACGCTGATTCCTGCCTCCCCCGCGGGTATACATAAGCGCCTTTTCCTTCCCTTTCCTCCTCCTGCCGTTGATTCTCTTGTGTACATATATATAATGTGTATGCATATGCCCTTCGTTCTCTCTCTCTCTCCACCTCCCCCGCACATGTTGATGCAGACCGACTCTTGAGAACCTTCGTTCCTCGTTGTACTTATATCCCTTTTCGCTAATCGCTTCCACCAGACGGGCATCCACGACAATTAGCAGCTTTTGATTATTAAATGCTTTGGATGTTTGTGCTGCCTTTCTTTTCTTTCCTTTCTTTTCAGTAGACAAAGTGCCTAATCGGCTCAAAGTTTACAAGGAACATTTCCATTTTTATCAGCATTTATTATAAAAGGTATTAATATTATTATTATTATTTTTTTTTTTTTCATACCAATACACACAACTTAGAAGTAGAAGCGCCACCATTAATCACGAGGCCACGTGCATTTTTATGTGCACCTATATACGTATAAAATTAAGAGTCGTTTACCAATGTGTACACGTTATACACGCGCACACGAGTGTATGGTATAAGTATACCTATAACTTGGGAAAGTGTCGGTTTCGAGGTGATTATTGAAATCATCAATCAATGGAAGGCATTAGCGGGGTCCACCAGGATATCCGAGTTTTTTTTTTTTTTTTCAACATTAACGAGCGGCAATGTCGACGGTGGCGAAGAGACGAATGTGGTTCTCATAAGAGGCCGAGGAGAAGGAGGAGGAGGTGTTGCTACCGCTGTCATAATGCGCACACGTCGGAGCGTGACGCGCACGGCGCCAAGAGCGGCGGAGCGAAATCGAAAGCCCGACCGGAACCCATGTCGTATAGGTGAGCAATACCCATATACGCGTCGTCGACTTGAAGCGAGTCGACGTACCTATATAGCCGAGATATTCATCCTCCCGCGCCTATTCTCACTTATTCGGAGGGGCGTGTTTTTTTTTCTTTCCTTTTTCCTTTCTCTTTCTCCGAGAGGCTGGCAAGATTTATTGCCTATTTGGACCGCTGGCTCGCAAGCCTCGCGACGAATTACGCACGGAGGAGACGGGCCCGCGATTAATGGGCCGGCCGTTCCTCCCCTGGTTTTACAGTTCACGAAAATTTCGACTCTCGTATACCTTGCACACCCGCTCTCTTTCTTTACTTTTTTCCCCGAGGACAAAATCACGCACTCTATTGTTCATACTCGTATATAAAATATCC